TTGATTTGCTTGAGTGGGCCCAGTAACATCTTCATTGTGAGACTTGTTGTTACTGTGTTTGGCATATCGAATACGTCATGGGTAGCTTGCCGGACTTTGCCATGAGGGCGAGATACTCTCAGAAGCTTGCCGGGCTCTCAAGAGGGGCAAAGGAATCAAACCAGGGTCACCCAAGTCAGCTGCGTGCAAGGCAAACACCCTACCATTGTGCTATTGCTCCATCCTGACATATCCATACTCTCCTATAATTTTATTTTGTATGTAAATCATGCACAATGTAAATATTTACATTTCTAAATTGCCATAGTGTATTTTCTAGGAAAATAAAAGTATTTACCCAACCTGATAGCTTCCATTTTTTTGATCCTCTCTAGGTCAGGGGTTTACTTCATAGTAGGAATAGTAGTTATTATTCCTATTCTCATGCCAGCTATAATTTACTGAACACTTATTGTGTGTCAACATTTAGCAAAACACTTTGTTCTAAAGTTTGTAATATGCAGCTTGGTAATTATACTTCAAAATACTGGATTGTAACTGGAAAATATATGTGCACACCTATGTTCATTACAGCGCTAAGTCCAACAGCCAGGAGATAAAAACAAGACAGTACCCAGTAAGAGATGAATGGATCAAGAAGTTATGATATAAAAGAGACTGAATGGAATACTATGCAGCTGTTACAACAGATGAAATCTTGTGGCTTGCTGCAACTTGGGTAGAACTGGAGGACATTATGTTAAGCAAAATTAGTCAAATTAGAGAAAGTCAAATACTGGAGGATTTCACCCATCTGTGGTATATAGAGAAGAAACAAAACAAGGAAATAGTATCAAATAACTAACTCTTGGTCTTGGGCTACAGAACTGAGATTACCAAGCAATGAGGGAAGGGAACTGAGTATGGGGAGAAAGAGGCAAATGTGACATAAGACATTGGTGGCAATGAGGATAGGGGTTGGGTGGGGGAGAAACTTTCATGGTTGTGAAGGTGAATTCACTTTTAGTATCAAAACCATAAACATGAATGCTATTGTAACCATGTTACCTAAACTACAATCAAAGCAAAAGTTTAAAAACTACTGAATTGCACTTTTGAAGTTGCTAAGGGAGCAGATCTTTAAAGTTCCCAAGAACAGACATTAATATTAGCATATGAACCTATGGTGATCACTTTGTGTGGTGACTAGGTAAAACAGGGAGCAAGGGAAGTAGATTCAGGAGAAGTACTGGCACTTCTCTGCGGTACCCACCTCGTCCGCCAGTGCTCAGGAATTGGCTGACTTGGATCAGGAATGGCAAAGTCAGCTACACGGCATGAGTGTTCACTTCCTGCAAGGCTCACAAGCCTGATGTCCAGTTGTTTTGCAGCCTGTGGTAGATGGCCCCTGAGAAGCATGATAGCTTTTATTAAATGAAACTTCCTTAGAAAGAGGTGAGGGGAAAGAAAGAGAGGAAGTACACATTCAAGAGAGAACACAACATCTTCAGAGTGGAAAAAGCCAGCAAAGTGACACAGAGACACGTACGTGAGATATGTATTCAAGGGAGAACCCGGGCTTGAAGAGCAAGCCCCAAACAGCTTTGGGGAGGAACTTTTACACAATTCCTCCAAAACCTTTTTTTTTTTTGAGCTTTGCTACATAGAAGTTAATCTGGGCATTGTCATAAGAAAGTCTTGCAGTATTGTTGGTCTTCTCACAGTGACATCCCTTGCATTGTTGATGGTCCCTTCATAATCTCATAGGTTTTTCCATAGTTCCTCCTTATCTGAGGGGGCCACCCTTCTCTCTGTGGGGTTGTGGATTTCTGCTTCTACATGGTGCTTCAGTTTCTGCTCTCCAAAAGAAGTCAGGATTTGCATGTCAGAAGAATGTGGTTTTCATGTCTTTGGTCTACTTCAGGGCGATCTCAAGTGTTTATTATTTTCCGAAAGTACATAACAGTGCTCTGCTACCCCTCTACCATGGAAACACATGGAAACATACTGTACACCAGAAACTTAATATAATGTTGTATGTCAATTATACCTCAAACTGGAAGCCTCTTGTATTTAAAAAAAAAAGAAACTCTTGACAAACATTATCTCATCTAATCCTTACATCCACAAATGAGGAAGATATAAAAAATACTCCCATAAAATAAAAACTGGATAGCTACCTGCAAAAAAAATGAAGTCTGACCCTCTGTCTGATGCCAGGCACAAAAGTCAGATCAAAATGGATTAAAGACCTCAATATCAGACATGAATCCATTAGGTACATAGAGGAAAATGTAGGCATAACTCTCCATGACATTGAAGCTAAAAACATCTTTAAGGATGAAACAGCACTGACCATGCAAGTGGAAGCAAACATAAACAAATGGGACTACATCAAACTAAGAACCTTCTACACTTCAAAAGAAACAGTGACCAAAATACAGAAAGAGCCTACAGAATGGGAAAGAATATTTACCCAATACCCATCTGATAAGGGATTAATATCTAGGATATACAAGACACTAGTAGAATTGTACAAGAAAAAACCTCCAAAACCATCAAAAAATGGGAAGAAAAAATGAACAAAAGTTTCCTCAAAAAAGAATACAAATGTCCAAAGGGCACATGAAAAATGCTCCACATCACTAGCTATCAGAGAGATGCAAATCAAACCAACAATGAGATATCATCTCACGCCACAGAGACTGGCACACATTCAAAAGAACAAAAGCAACCAGTGCTGGTGTGGATGTGGGGGAAAAGGGACACTCTTTCACTGTTGGTGGGAATGCCCACTAGTCCAGCCTTTCTAGAAAACAATATGGACAGTCCTTCAAAAACTAGAAATTGAGCTTCCATATGACCCACAATACCACTTCTGGGAATATATCCCGAGAATGCAAAAAAACACAGTAGAAATGACATATGTACCTATATGTTCATTGCAGCACTATTCACAATAGCCAAAATCTGGAAACAACCCAAATGCCCTAGTACAGATGACTGGTTAAAGAAACTTTGGTACATCGACACAATGGAATACTATGCAGCTATCAGGAGAGATGAACTTTGCTTATAAATGGACAGACATGGAGAGTATCATGCTGAGTGAAATGAGTCAGAAAGAGAGGGACAGATATAGAAGGATTACACTCATTTGGAGTATAAAACAACATAACATGAGGCTGACTCCTAAGGACAGTAGATATACGGTACAGACAGATTGCTCCATAGCTGGAAGCCTGCCTCATGAGCAAAGGGGAGAGGGCAGCTGGAATAGAGAAGGGATCACTAAGAAAAAGATAGCTGGAGGAATAGGTCAGGATGGGAGATGTGTGCAGAAAGTAGATAAAGGACCAAACATGATAACCTCTCAGGGTCTGTATTGCAAACCATAATGCCCAAAAGTAGAAAGAGGTTATGGAGAATCATATCTGCCATGGAGGCAGAGGGAGGGTGGGAAAGGGGGGCTGTACCGGGGATATTGGTGGTGAGGAATGTGCACTGGTGGAGGGATGGGTGTTTGATCATTGTGTGATTATAACCCAAACATGAAAGCTTATAACTATCTCACGGTGATTCAATAAAAGGTAAAGACCCTCCCGTTGTTCATCGATTTGCTCGAGCGGGCCCAGTAACGTCTCCATTGGAGACTTTGTTGTTATTGTGTCTGGCATATCGAATACGTCACGGGGAGCTTGCCAGGCTCTGCCGAGCGGGCGAGATACTCTCGGTAGCTTGCCGGGCTCTCCGAGAGGGGCGGAGGAATCGAACTCGGGTCGGCCATGTTGGCCGCTTGTAAGGCAAACGCCCTGCCGCTGTGCTATCACAAAAAATACTCCCATAAAATAATACTTTCTCTGTTTTAAGAAGAGAACTAAAGATGTTAAATAAAATCCAGACATTTTATTCCTCACCCACACTTTCCCATAGTGTCTACTTTAGAATGATTAAAATAACATGTACTTGGCAAAAATCACAATCAAGGGACCGTGTACTCTCTCACCCCCAAAGCAGAGCTTCCCATCATCGAATTTTATACAACACAGGAGTTTGCCTTGCTATACACACATGTGCATGCAGGCACACAATCACACAGTGCACGTAGGGTGAGAGCACAGTCACACAGGGGAAACTACCTTAGATGAAGTTGATCCTGTTTCAATCCTTCTCGCCATATAGGGTCCCCTGAGGCCCACCAGGAGGGATCCCTGTGCACAAAATCTGGCATAAGCCCTGAGCAGAGCTGGGTACGGTCCCCAAACAAAAATAAGTCAGCAGACATTTTATTCTAGTTTATTTTTTCAAGTAAAAAATAAATATTTCCATATCAGCATATATCAGTCTAAATCACTAATTCACAACTACATGGTGATTTGATTTATGAACCATTTCTCATTCTTACGAATATTGCTGCTGAAAATAAAACTTTTACACAATTTTTTTTAACCAATGAAGGATATCTTTAAAATTAATTTTCTAGCAATGAAACTGCTGGGCTAAAATAGTACTTGAATTTTAAATGTTAAGCCATATTGTGCTCTGCCAAAATGCCTGTTTTCTCAAGAGGGTGAAATTTGAGAAGGATAACACATTTTTTATTTTATAGTTTCAGCTGAATTATTTAAGCTACTCATGACCAAGAGTGAGCACATTTTTGTATATCCACAAGCCACTTATAATTTGCATTTCTAAACACCTTTCCTTTGTGTCCTTGATCTATTGTGAAATATTGATTTCTTTCTCCACAGTGAGTCATTTAAAAAATATTTCTTTTTTTAAAAAAAATCCTGATTTTTCCATGTTTTGTGTTTTCTGATTGAACATTTAGTATGTTGTCTGTTTCAGATATTTTCTGAGCTTTTTATCAATTAATTATTCTCTTATAGCTGTGAGGATAAAGTTGTTGACTGTAAGTTGTGAAGTGTTGCCATCTTTTCTTAGAGCCCAGACTCCTCACTCCCACTCACCTGCTCTCAGCTCATGGAAGGATGCTAATGCCAGATTTGCTTTCTCTTCAGGTGTGCTAACAGAACAAGCTGCGGCAGCTCTGGGACAGCCCCTGGACTTGGTGGAACCCTACTCCCAGTACAACAATGTTCCGTTTCCCCAAGTTCAGCCGCAGATTTCGCCATCCTCCTACTATTCCAACCTGGGTTTTTACCCACAGCAGCCGGAAGAGTGGTACTCCCCAGGAATCTATGAACTCAGGCGCATGCCCCCCGAGACGCTCTACCCCGGAGAGACTGAGCTAGCAGAGATCCCCGTCACAAAGAAGGCCCGGATGGGGACCTCGGCGGGGAGAATCAAAGGGGATGAGCTGTGTGTCGTTTGTGGAGACAGAGCATCTGGATACCATTATAACGCTCTGACCTGTGAGGGGTGCAAAGGTAAGTGTCTTCTGATGGGCGGTTTTCTTCCTTTAAAGTTTAATATAGTAGTTGCTGAAATCCCTTGAACCGGATTATTCTCTTTTCCCATATATCATTTCTCATTTTCTCCTACTAGGCTATTACCATTTCCTCTTTCACGACTTTTGCCAAGATGTCATTGATCCCAAAGAGACGTCCGTTAAGAGTATTTGACTTGAATATGAATAGGAAAATTACAAATAACTTGTTCCTCTTTCTTACCACACACAGAAGGAATTCATAATTGTGGGTTTTGATGCTTTTTTAAAAAAAAATAAAGATAAACTGGGCTAGAGATGTGTCTTAGGGGTAGGTCTTGCCTGTATGGAACTTAGGTTGAATGATGTCTGTGTCAAGAAAAGAGACACAGAAGCAGACTCAGAAAAATGTTAAACTCGTCTTTTAAAAAATTAATATCAAGGAGGCTGGAGAGATAGTTCAGCAAGTAGGGTGTTTGCCTTGCATGTGACTGATCTGGGTTAGATTACCACCATCCTGCATCGTCCTCCGAGCACCACCAGAAGTGATTGCTGAGCACAGAGCCAGGAATTACCCCTGAGCATCACCAGGTGTGGCCCCCAAACAAAACAAAATAATATTAATAATAATATCAAGAGGGGATGTGACTGAAATGGTAGATCACATTTGCCTTGCATGTGTGATCCCTGGAAGCACATGAATCCAAAAGCACCATGCAAAGTAATAAATTACTCTTAAATAATAAATGAAACTAAGATCAAGGAGAGCAAGACTTCACTCAATTGAGACTAAATATTTGTTGTTTACTTGGAACTACTTTTCTTGTCCATTAGTGTACTGAGAAAGACAGAAATAAAAATAAAAAAAATAAAGCAATATTCAACAAAATTTTATTTAGTAGGATCATGGATCTTGAGGGTTTGGGGGAAAAGCAACGAAATTGCAATCCATTTAGAATAGATAAGCTGTTGCACTTGAAATATGCAAAAGATCCCATATGAAATCCTAGATGAGTGCTCTAGGGATATGGGCACGGATAACAAGTCAGTAAGGTTTCAGAGGGAGACAGATGTAGCTCAAGTAGTATGAGCTCAATGCCACTTGTATCCTTGGGGGCCTTTGAGCACCTCCTAGTCTGACCCTGACCTTTTGAGTACCACTGAGTGTGGCCCCCACAGTTAGTGGTAAAAAAATTTCCTTTTTAGGGGAAAGAAGAGAATGGACTAGGACTTTCAGGTGGTAATTTTTGTATTTACTTATTGAGCAAATATTTACAAGTTGCCTCTGGTGTGTTCAACACCATGCTTGCTTCTGAGTTACTGAAAGCTGAATCCGAACTGTCCCTGGAACAGTGATATCTGTTCGATGCTGTGCCAAATTGGGGTTCCCAGATGTTAATGATTGCTATAAAAATAAACAAAGGACCCAGTCACATAAGAATAGCTCAAGGACATTCCAAAACCTTTGAAAGTTCAAATGATCAAATTGTGTAAAACTATTACTCACTTTGAAAAGATTTGTGATTTCATTCAATTTCCTCTAAAAGAGAATTTCCCCCCAATTTAAAAACAACTGACTAATATTCTATTTACCATTGATTCCGATTCCTAAATGTCTCTTCTCAGTGCCTGTGTATGCTACTCAAAAGTGTGGGCCTTAGACTGCCAGGATCAGCATCATTTTTTAAATTGAACTTTTAATTAAAGAACTGTGATTGACAAAGTCATTGATAGTTGCATTTTAGGCATATACTATTTCAACACCAACCCTACTATCGGTGTCAGCTTCACTCCATCAATGTTCCTATATTCTCTCCCCACCCCAATCCACATTACAAAGTTTTAGTGGTTACATCTGAGATCTCACATTTTCAGTTTTGTTGAGTCTGTGTTTGGATGTAAGGCTGCACCATTCACTCATATCATCGTACAACTGAAACCCTCTCAGCATCATTTTTGAACTTATAAGAAATACAAACTCTGGAGTTACTGAATCTAAATTTCTGGGGATAAAACCCAAGAATACTTGGGCTTTAACTAACCCTCCATCTAAACTTTGGGAACAGCTGGGGTAAATCTTACATAAAATGCACCCATGGGAACTTGTCTGGCAGAGCAGTTTGACTGTGTTCTGATTGTGAAATTCTCCACCATGGGACCTGAGACCGGGGGGGGGGGGGAAGTGTCTCTGTCCTAGGTCATCAGAAGGACAACTCAACAGGTAAAAATGTAGACTTGTAACACGGTCCAGATGCAGTCATGTTTCTTGTGTAGAGAGAAAGAAAGAGGCAGGGGAGGTGGGGGGAGAGCGGGGAAAGTGCACAGTTTATTCTGAAAATCCAATCCAATTGAAGGAAAAAAACTCTATACATTTATTTTTCATTTGTTTTGTATTGTTTTTGGGGGGTCACACCCAGCAGTGCTCAGGGCTTATTAGCTCACTCCTGGTGGGATTAGGGACCACTATGGGGTACCAGGATTGAACCTGGGTCAGCCGCATGCAAGGCAAAAGCTATACCCACTGTACTATCACTCCGACCCCTCCTTTGTACCTTTGAACCTACAAATTTTAGTGCCAATGATAAGCCAGTTGTCATCACAGGCATTCCACACAACTTATTCTCTTTTTTTTTTTAGATCCTTATAGCAACTGTGAAAAGTAGGTATGTCTGAACTATCTTAAAAGTGAAGAATAAAGGATTTACAGAAGAAGTTGAGATTTTAGAGGCCAGGGCTAATACCATGTGGGATATATTTAATTACACTTTGGTAGTAAAGTTTTCAATTTTCACAACTTATCTTCATTTCATTCATGTATTGGTTTTGGTTTGGGGGTTGGGGCTTATACTCAGTGGTATTCAGAGCTTACTCCCGGGCCTATGTTTAGGAATCACTCCTGGCATTGCTTGGAAAATCTTGTGTGGTGCCAGAAATCGAACTGGAGTCAGCAAGGCAAGTTCCTTACCTGCTGTGCTATCTCCCCAGCCCTATCTCCATTTGTAGATTAATAATGTTAAGTGCATCTTATTCCAGGCATGCCAGGACTAGAGCTTCACAGATAACAGCTTTTAAATAACTAGAGGCTCTGTTATTAACCACCAGACCAGAATGTGTTTAAGTGTTTGTCCACTAAGTGATCATTCTACACTCGAGGTATTTACTCATGGCTAGTATTAACTAATTCAGTGGCCAATGGAAACAATAAAGCTTTTTGCTGATACTTTCTGATCCAAGGGAATAAACCCCTAAAGTCAGTAACCTGGCACAGTTCACCTTCTTTCAGAAGACTCTCCTGAGAGAAAGGTGGGTGTGGTGGGATATATGGTGAGATCAATTTTCTGATGACCAATCTTGGAATTTTTAACTCTAAGAGCAGGTGGGGAAGAGAAGAGCCTTAACAACAGAGATTAGAAGTCAGGGACTGGAACGGTAGCACAGCAGGTAGGGCGTTTACCTTGCATACCGCCTACCTGAGTTCGATTCCCAGCATCCCAGATGGTCCCCCGAGCACCGCCAGGAGTAATTCCTGAGTGCATGAGCCAGGAGTAATCCCTGTGCATCGCAGGGTATGATCCAAAAAAAGAAAAAACAAAAATGTTTAAATAATGGAGAGAGAGAGAGAGAGAGAGAGAGAGAGAGAGAGAGATTAGAAGTCAGAGACATACTTCCCAAAAGGGCAAGGTGTCAGGCATCAGAGAGAGAGAAAAAAGTATTTAAAGGAGAATTGATCCTTAGGAATAAGCTGCTTCAAGTTTAGGCAGAGATGTGTGTGTGTGGGGGGGGGGGGGGGTAAGGGGTGGGCAGAGATTGAACTTGGAGCCTCACCATACATGCCAGGCATGCATCCTACCATTGAGCTACATCTCCAATCCTCAGGAAGAAACATTTTCAAGAGCAGAAAAAGGCAGTTTTTGTTGTTGGTTTTGATTTGAGATACTTGCCTTTAGCATGACTACAATACAGGGACAAAAGTCCAGGGAGGGGATGAGCTGGAGCCAAGTAGTGCCCATGCCCTTCACCAGGGGTTGACAACTTCCTTTCTGTAACGAGATAGGAACTATTTTAAGCTTTGCACCATAACAGTCTCCCATTGCCATTACGCAACTTGACAAATGCAGCTGTGAGGAAGAGATGTGGCCGTGACTTTACTTACAAAAGTAGGCAAAGAAAAAAAAAACAGGCAATGGGCCCAATTTGGCCCGTAGACCTAGCTAGAGTTTGCTGACTCCTGATCTAATTTAATGATCCCTGTTCTAGGCTAATGACTCTTGAAGGTCAGATTAGGATTAGCTGGAAGTAGTGTAGTGAAAGAACACACAAAAACCTCAGGTTAAGTGTGCTAGAAATATAACCAGATGCTTTACCATCAGATTTAATTCTATTTTAAACATCGGAGGTAACTTTATTTTCCCTTCCTTTCAGGATTATTCTAGACACCTCCCTACCCTCCCATCCCATCTTTTTCTCTAAATTCCAGGATTATGTAGCATTGTGGAGGGGCTTGGGCCCTAAGGGTCAGGCACTAACTCTTGGTTCTTTAAACATAGTGCAACACCTGTTGTTCTAGTGAGCCTCATTATCCAAGGGAAAGTCTCTGATGTTCCAAACGCTTAGGAGTCCCTGGGCTCCTAAGCGCATTTCTTCCTGTCTGCCACACCTGCTTCTCTGTGGCTTAGGGAGGGAGGTTCGTGATTTTTCTCTTGTATAGCCTCAGAATCCTTGGCTGCCAGGAAAGATTCAGAACCATTTCCTCTGCCTTATGTAGTGCAGAGAAGCCTGAGAACTTCCTCTGTCTCTTCCAGGAAAGGGCACAAAAATCCCTGTCCTAGGATTCTGAAATAATACAGAATTTCTATCTTTCTTTCAACGTTCCCATCCCAGAACTCAGTCTGGGGGTGAAGGGTAGAGGAGAAAGAAGCTCAGGAGCATCTCAGGTACTTAACCTATGAGATGGAAGGAGTTTGGACTATACCTGGCGATGCTCAGGGCTTGCTCCTGGAT